TATATATATATATATATATATATATATGTATATATATATATATATATCCGGTCAGACCCGGATGGTGTAGTGGTGAAGTGCGCTGCTCCCCGGTAAGGACAACAGCGCGTGTTCGTTCTCCACTGCATACACCTGTGGTCCGGAGTTTTGCAAATATCTCAGCATTTCATACGAGTTATAATTCGAAACATAACCTGCCATTAAGAAGAAAAAGGCAATAAATAAAAGAGTTAAGATAGTAAAATTAATATTAACTTGAAGATAGTGTGGGGATTTGAAGAGATGAAAATAAGCAACCTGAAAAATTCTAAGAGCGAAATGAATACGAGTAAACTCCTATGAAATTAGTGCTATTCAAATCAATATCACAACCGTCGACATTTGTCAAAAAAAGAATCGAATGCGATTTTCACAACAATTTTTCTATTTATGGATATATTTGTTGCAATTTTCTATACTTCAGTGTACTAATTAATAAACATGGTGACCTTCATTAATTCTAAATGTTTTGTAATAACTTTCCATCAAGTAGAAGACTTCACTAGTTATTTGAAAAATTCGACACACCATTTTTAGAAATTAATCTCTCACCTAAAAGTGATACTGGTTTCATCTGTAAAAATGATGAAGAATGAGCTCACAATGCAAATCCTTCAACGGCAATTCTTCGTTCATCAGTCGGCGATGGCACAACGACCTCTCGACGTCGGTTTGCTGCTGAAGGTCTTCAGTTACGATAATAACAAAAAGGTCATTTCTTACTGGAAGAAAGATGTAATAAGAAAATTGCTTGGAAAAACTAAAAGATTTTAGCTAATGATTGCTGATAAATTGAAGATAGAAATGTGCATTTCAAACACTCATCAGTCAGTATGTATTTAATGCATGAAGTATTACTCGATGGTGGAAAGGCACATAGATAATTGGCTGATGCGTCACATGGCAGTGATGTCCAATCGGTCATGCCACCAGATATCACGTAAGCCACGCATGAATTCGGCACCATAAAGGAGGAACTTTTTGGCCTAAAAACCGTGGACATAAAACATTCCTTTGGCGACTGTTCTTCTCGTTACTGTACGATGTTTAATTCAATTTCTCTCCTATGAACCATAAATAGAGGTTGAAACCATAAATAGAAGTCGAACTATCGTATTTTTGGTTCACATGTGATTCAGTGGAAAAGATCCCCTGCTGCATAAATGTATTCGGTAGCTACTATTTAAATCGTGTCATCAAAATTCAAAAATTTCGCCTACTAGTACGAAGCATCGGAAAAAGAAAAAGTGAGGGAGAATCATACTGATATTACTTCAGCTTCTAGCGTTCCTTATTTCTGCATGATTTAGAACACGATTCTTGCTCACCCTCTTTTGCTCCAAAGCTTTCCTTTCTCTAACTATCCCATTTACTATCAAATCATCAACAAGCGATGAATGTGCTTAGAACACTAAAGCACTTCGTTGATGTACAACAGCACGATTTTTGGGTACAAAGTCATTTATCAACTGCTCAAAATCTAATTTAGAACGAATTACCGTGTTGACACGGAGTATGTTTAATGAGCTGACAAAGATGTTTCGAATACAATGTTTGTTTCAGGATGGCCTACATTTTGCCGAACTTCATCATTTTCCAAACTTTTTTGCTCTTATTCACCTTTTCCAAATATTGATATCATTCGCGCGGAGCACACAGGATGACTTTTCGGGTAAGCGCTGCAAAATCTTCGCCCTTCTTTAAAAGTTATTTTCGAAACAATGTTTTGAAAACAAAAACAGAACAAAACGAAAGGGCGAAAAATTCGTATCGATTTCAGTGTTCACACAGTTAAACGTCGTACTACGGTGACAGTATCCCGTCTATCACAAAAGATGCTGCCTGTTAATCGCAACGACTGTTGGTATCATGCAATGCCTTTGTCAATCATCCATAATTGTGAACAAACACTGAATCGATTGATGGTGATCGTATGACAAGTACTGTTCATAAAAGATAGGATGATGACAACGACCAATAACGACGTAACGCAAATCACAACGAAAACATTAGTGTGTTTAACAACGAGTATATTGCATTGAAAACCAAAGAATCACCACTATTTATCGAAACCTACATCCTATAATCCAATGGTTCACGGACGCACTGGAGATTGGACTTGAGTGTCGCATTGCGGTAAACAGATCGGGCGACGCTTTAGCAACATTTCCCAAGCTGAGAAGGAGTTAAATATTCCCATCCAAATAGGCCACTGGGAGTAAACTAGTGCTAGCAATCCCTGCCGTGTTAACAAAATTAGAATCACCATTTGGTAAGTGCTAGTGTTCTGAGAACGCTTAGTCACTGTTCTCGGATTCCCAGAAAAAAGTGGTCTCGTGCAACCAGAAAATTCTTAGTGAAAGGGAAATTATCGTAGGATTAACACAAAACTTCTAGTGATTCATAAAGATAGTCCATCCAATCATTCAAGTAAGTATCTGTAGTTTTTACAAGCCGTTTTCGCCGATTTTGATACGCATTACCAGCAAAAAGCACAATAATGTCATCTTTTAGGACGTGTGTTGCGCAGTGGTCGGAGGCGCCCTACAGTACAAATGGGATCGATCTGCACACCCAAGGCCCACCAAACCTTCCATCCCTCCGGGGCCAGTAAAGTGGGACCACACTTGTCTAGGAGGACAGCAACACAGACTCAGTAATCTCGGTAATCGGTAGCCACTACGAGTCATTGTAAAGGCCAGATATAAATTCGATCACTTCCAACGAAATTCAGTGAAGTCGAATTCATGGCGCAGCCTTCAGGGATTGCTCAACGGCGAGAGTTTTATCCTTTACCCTTTTTATCTTCCACTAGTGTTCGAATCAATTTATGAAGAATACTGAGAGTTTCATACTTCTTACATTTAAGGGTTAACATGAAAACATTTGACCGACGAATTGGCACATTGCATGATATTTTGACATAGCACCAAATTTACTCGAACGGATTCTAAAAGGCTGCAGTACGCTTTTTCAATGAAGTGCAAATACGATGTTAGATACACCAAATCAAGTTGTTACGCCTTTGCTTTTCAACTTCATCGACTGCAAACGTTTTTCACACAAATTTACCGATCTACCTGTAAGTGGCTTGGTTTCCGTCACTCCACATCAGTCGACCATTAGGGTCAACTTGTAAGTCGATCCAAAAGGCTTCATTCTCCTTGCCTCTTCGAACCAACTGTCTGGATAAATCACTATCCATAGACGCATCAATATTAGATGCTAGATATCCTCCCTGGAACAAAAAAAGTAGAACAATTTAAATACACAGAATACCTTACTAAAATGGATTATGGGGAGAAACAATTTAGTAGGAAACATAAAGAGCTTAGATCTTTTCATTGGTGCTGATAACTAATGGAAAACGGAGCATTTCGGATAAAAACTTTTACCTACCTGACTACGGCAAACTTGTTTCGCTTCTGTACGCAATAAAAGTATTCGCCTTGTATCGATTGTGAAGCATCTACCGGCAAGATAGAGAGAATCGGGTGGGCATTTCATTTGCATTTCTACAATAGTGAACACTTCGACTGGGAAGCAATCGTCGGTTGATGGATCCGATGAAGTTTCTGTGAATAGAAACCTCAACCTTACAATATATATAGTCATTTTCCACTCCTTGTCATAACCCCTTCGTAGTCATATGACCTTGTTACTCGTCGAATAACTCAAGCAACTGTCTACAAAATGCCCACTCGATCATATCAAACGCTAGAGCAGCCCAACACTGGAATATGCGGAAGTGTAGCCACTAACATAGGCATGGATACGTGTATACGGAGTCTAATAGTGAATACTCACATTATAATGTTTAACGTTTTGTTTTCTGCCTTCTATAATTTTCATGGCAGGTTACTAAGCGAAATACAACCACAACGTTGCTGAGATATTTGCAAAACTCTGGACCACAGGTGTCTATGGTGGGGAACGAACGCGCTATTATCCTTTCCGGGGAGTAACGCGTTCACCACCACACCATGCGGGTCCTTTGTTTCGCACGTCTCTCAGCTATACTCACATTATATATGTTTACATCTAAGGCCTTTCATAGCAAGTAAGTTGTCATTTTTGATTCGCCCTTAACTAACTTTCTATCGCCTGTGAATGCTTAATGTAGCTGAAAAACCAATGAGCTCGACATCCATGATGAGTACAATCACGTGATTAAGCTGCTCTCACGAAAGACTCGAACAGACACCAGCCAACTCTCCGTTGATCCCTATCGGATGTGACGCAAGAGTGGCCTAGTGGATCTTAATTGCCCTAGGGACTCACGGAACATGGTTTTTTTCCCGTGAGAATCCTAGTAAAGAGTTGTGAACATTTTTTGATAG